GCATCAGCAGAAGGAATCTGCTATTATCCAAGGTGGTCAGTGCACTCATAGGACAGCTCTGTGTCCAAAATCTCCTCCAAACTTAAGCCGGGTGTGTTTCTAGGGGGCTTTTTTGTCTCTTCAGTCTTGCTGGAGTCACATTCAGTACATTTGCTTTACTCTGCAGAAGTCTTGTCTGCTGGGGCTAAGCCTTCTTGGAGGAGTCCAACCCGGTGGGGCCCCAGGATCTGTTTGAGCCTTTGACCTTTGAGCATAGTCTTGGTCAGCTCAGCACGTTGGCAAGGCTGCTGCTGTACGCCCCTCAATCTATGAGCAAAGCTTGGGTCGACCCACCATGTTGGCAAGGCTGCTTGCTGTATGCTCCAGAGATTGTGGTCGCCTTGCTGGGAAGCGAACCCCCCCCCCCCCGACTCCCTGATATACTACTATAAAAGAATTACATAGCTCTCTCATACATCTTGAGTATGTGGTAAGATTTCCCGAAAATCCCCCGACCGCTCCCTTTTGCCCTGACCACCTACTGTTAATTACAATGCTTCATCCCTGCGATCACAATGGAGGGTGTGCTGAAGTTCTATCTAGTTCTATCACACCACTAGATGGGACAAGGATTCAAAACTATCACTTCTCCCACAGCGCCGAGGCCTTTCACCAAGACAGGAACATCGCCCTCTGCAAAGGAAGACTTGGTGTCCCCAGAAAGGGCAACGGCTTTCTCACTCTGAGCTGCTCTTCCACTGTGGGGCTGTGCTGGGCTTTGGTGAATGCCAAGCGTATTCCGTGAGCCGGGTGCCTGACTTGCCAGGGGCCATGTCTACAGCCTGCCACTGGCCGACACCCTGTGAGCAACGCTCTCTGATTTCACAGACCAGTGCGTCCTCCCCGAGTGTGGGGTTGTTTTCTGCAATCCCCAGGAAGGATTTTTGTAAGCTGCCACTTGGTGCAGGCTGAGGATGGAGGAAGAAGGGCGGGGTCTGATACTTAGGCCAGTTCACACAGGGCACTGGTTTCCATCCCCAGCTCTCTTCCTGCCTCTTAGCTACAAAGCCTTTGCCTGTTGGATTCCTGCCCAGGGGCTTGGAGATCACTGTGGCTGCAGAGTCAAAGGAGCTGAGTAAATCCAGCCTCTGCCCTCTGGGCACGTGCTGCCTCCCCTGGCCTCGCTTCCTTGCCTGGAAAATTGACAGCGAAAGGAACTCCCGCAGCACCTAGGTGAGGCGAGCTGTGTGAGCTTGTCTCTGTGCGGTTGCCATGGCCCTCGCTGTAGTGGGTTTGAGCAGGTCTGGAGCATGGGGTACTAACTAACCAGGGCAGCGGCTACACTGCGTGAGGCTGGAAGGGGGGCCCACGTGTGGGGGCACTGCCACTCAGCACCAGGAGCTGGTGCCCTGGGACCCTAGGGAGCTGCGCTCAGAGGAGTGCTCTCCTCTGCTCTCGGCTGCTCTGTGTCTACAACAGTGCCCCATGAAGTTGGTGCTCAAGGAACTCCTGGGCCATGGACGGGCACAGACTCAGTGTGGCCAGTTTCTCCAGATGATCAGTAGCCAGAATCTAGATTTACAGCGAATCCCCATATTGGCGACGGACTCATGAACACTTTTTAAGCACCATGTGGATCAAATTAAACCCACTTGCAAGCTGGATCCTACTTGTTGACTGACTCAATGACCTACAGGGGCTGCAGCCCTGCTCACAGCATCATCACCGATGAGGTCCTGGTGTCCCAGCCCCTGCCAGCCTCTCAGACCCCATTGCCAGGCTCTGGGAACTGGGAACCACCTCCTGTTCCTTTCTCGAATGACTCCGGGAGGACCCGCCCTTCCTGTGCAGCTGTGGGAGATGTGAGTGCCACTCCTTCCCATCACCAAGTGTCTTAGGGGATCGCTGATCCCCTCTTGGCGGAGGCCGACCTTGGTCCTGGCCCATGGACTCTCTTCTCCCAGACCTCGCGACCTCCTGCCTGCCTGTGCCGTCCCATGGTCAGGCCACCCTGCACCTGCCCTCTCACTTACGTGGCTGGCTCATCTTCCGTGATACTCCACGCCCAGCCACCGTGCCATGGCCACGAGTCCTGGTCATCTCCCACATGGCCCTCCCTCGGGGATATCTGGTTCAAGCAT